AGGGGGGGGGGGGGGGGGGGCGCGAAGGCCAAGGGGGCAGGGGAGGGGGGGGGGGGGGGGGGGCTCCCACCTCAATCAAGGCTTAAAAGCCTACACCTGCATCCCACTTTTCTCTGTGGCTGCTAGTGCTGCCTCTGCCAAGCACGCCAGGGATTCCTTCGTTTTTATAAGGCTACCCACTCCACAACCACCCTGGCCAATGGGAAGGCGAGCCACATGATGGAGGGGAGGGCACAGCCACTAAACTTTTAATGTCTTAAAAATCTTAAGTGTCTTAAGATCTTTTTCTGATTGGCCAAGCCCTCCCTTTTGTTGTGCAGCTCACCTTCCTTTCCCAGACTCCACCGCTCAACCCTCGCATGCTTTTCCTAGTTGGCATGCGGAATACTCCAACCAATCAGAAGGAGAGTGGTGCTCAATACAAACCAATTGAGGAGAGACATACAGGAACTCTCCCCAACCCTGCTGCTTGTTTATCCATGTTGGAGCGACCAGTGAATAAATGTTCAAGTTTGGCATTGCAGAGAAGAAAACAGTTTATTCACCAAATACGAAATCTCTGCACCAGCCCTGCACCCTTTTTTGTGTTTTGTATCTTTCTTTGTTGGCAGCAGGGGTATGTGACAGAATGGAGGGTACTCAAAAGGGCAGAGATGGGGGGAAAGGTAGGCAGGTGGGGGGAGTTGAAGCGCCCCTGCAGTTATAAGTGCAGGCAGGCTGCCAAGCACCTGAATTTTGATCATATGACCACAGGGGTGCTGCAGTGGCTGTATCTTCGGGACTAGTTGTAAGTGTATTTTTTCAGCACTGTCGTAACTTCGAACAGTCACTGAATGAATGGTCATAAGTTGAGGGCTACCTATACTGCTAAGATCAAGATCAAGTTGAAAATGGACTGTAGTAAATAAACACTGAAATACAAAACTTAAAAGAAAGTATAATCTTACAGGCTTCTGATGTCTGAATTCCAGTCTCAAAATGACTGGAAGGAGTAGAAACTAGAATAGTACCTTCCTGTTTATTTTTCTTCTATTAATTATCATCATCACTATCCCCAACCCCATCCTTCTTTCCTGTACAGAGGGCAAGGAAGTATACTGATAAGTCTTTCCCATCTCTGTCATTGAAACAACCTGTGTTGGACAAAAACTAAAACATGAGTTTTCCACGTACATGTTATGGTTGTTTAAAAAGGAACACTGGTGAATACAGGGAACATCAGTGTAATTTCAATGGGGAAGCAAATAATTTTGAAAATATTTGCAAAATTTCTTACAAATGAGCAGTATCAAAACAGCAATCTGCAGTCAAACATCTATGGACAAATAGTTTTCAGGGGAACTGACATCCTCAGAAAACAAGGGATTGGGCAACTTGTATCTTGCATACCACATGCAGCACTCTCTGGAGTCTCCCGCACAAGCCCTGATCATATTGCTGAAATTCAGTGGCATTCCATCAAATTATGACAGTGTCCAAAGTGGCCATATCCCACCAGCTTAATCCACCTGTTGTATGGCAAGTGATTAAGGTGTTAGACCTGAACCAAGAAGTTCCAGATTCAAGTCTCCCTTAAGCATAGTATCAGTGAGTGATTTCTACCAGTCACTTTTCCTCACCTCAGTCTACTTCACAGGGTGGTTGCTATGGGACTAAAATGAGGAGAGGCTCTCAGATAAGTGCCCCTGAGTTCTCAGAGGAAAAGCCTAAATGCAAATACAAACTATATATAAATTGGGACAAAAATCACTATGTCATTGCTACACACCCCTCTGGCCCTCAGCAGATACAAGAGGAAGGAAGGAATTCCTGGCTATAAAAATGTTACCCAACACATGTTGGCAATTCTTATTCTGACTGTTATTACATAGATGATGATTCTTCTCTCCATATTGCATATGGGAAGCCTGCAGCATCCTATCAGACAACTGATGTGGAGGTGGGACTATATCTTATTTTGTTGATCCCTCCATCCTGCATCTTTCCCCTTCCCTTACTTAGACTGCTCTTTGGTAGGTCTTAATGAATTCCACACAATTGTCCAGTTGAATTCATCTCTGAAAACTAAAATCTAGAAATTATGGTGATAGTGAATGACATGACCCCAAATTTTATTTGAAGAACATTTGTGCAAAACGGACAGAACTGCAAACGTAAGAAGAGGCTGTAGTGCGTAGTCTTTGAATTGGACATAAATTTGTCCCTGTACAGAGTTCAGCTGTGAGTTCTAAGGGAATAGATCTGATTAGAGATGTCATGGAAGAAAAACAAAAGCTATATTATCAAAATTCATAATACAGCTTCAGCCTCAAGCCACCCCTTTTAGGGTCTTTTGTCTTTATTGCCTTACCTTCTTTTTTATACCTGCTCAAGTATTATCACTGATAGACAGATCTTTGGTATATAAGTTTCTACTTTCTACATCACTAATATTGTGGCCAAATTTTCTGTGGCAGCAGTCAGTACATGTCATCAAACAATGTATTCCTGATTATTGTACAGTATATTTGTTTTTATATTCTTTTATATGTTAATATGTATGGTTCATTAATCATAATGACAAACATATATATGTATGTATGATCTGTAAATCACAGTTTATGATTTAACATGGGTTTATATAATATGGGAAGCCAAAGTCAGGCAAACCCAGCCCATGATTGGTAGGAGCTCTTCATGATTTCACCTAGGAGTCTTAGCTCCCTTTGGAGATGATAGGGATTGAACTTGATACCTAAGTTTCTTGCACAGAGCCACTTGGCAGAGTGGTGTTAGAGAGGGGTTTTTTTCCTGATTTCTAAACTCCAAAATGATTTCTGACATTTAGGAAACTGCTGAAAATCTGGTTGTTCCAGAGAGCATTTGGGATAGTAGAGTGGGTGTGTTGCTGAGTGAGGAATGCAGTGATGGATTAGATATTCAACTGGTATTATAAATTTGTTTTATTGACATAGTTTATGGGGATGTTTTATTCATTTGATTATAATGATATTGTTTCAAAGATACTGCTCTATGCTACTTGGAGTTATATGATTTAAATGGTTTAAAAGCACAAATATATAAAATTCTAAAAATAGTTACAGAAGAATAGTAGATTCTTTTAGATTCCAAAACTCAGTTCTGCCTTAGAAAATTTAGGCAATGCACTACCCTGTAATGCATGGTGGAAGCCAGGATAAATGAACTCTGTGTTTTTTCAGATGAAACTTCATTTGGCATTATGTAAGAGTGACCAACAAAGTCTTTGCAGAAGACACTTTTAGAGAATTAGCAGGTATGTCCTTCCTGCAAGGACCACATAATCTAAAATTCAACAAGGAAACATCATAAGGAGAGGCAAATATGGGCAGGCTAAACAGGAAGACTATATTAATTTCATTCATTTGCCAGACCTGCACAAGTCGTTTTAGTGGAACAGTCCTCTGGAGCCACTCCTCCAAGCCAGGAAGAAACCACAGGTGCTCCAAGGCCTGGTGATGCAACTGCTTTGAACTCCCCCAACCCCAACCATGCCCTGACACTTTCAGACCTCAAAGCATCCAGTCCAGGTCTTCAAAGATGCTTCACAGCTTTGAGGAGTGCAGTTGAAGGACCTAATTGAACAATAAATTGCATTGTACAAGTACAGGTGGATTAGGGTAGTTGGGAAGTATGAGATTCTAAAGGAGGCTTCTATCTTCATACTGGGAAAAGCTAGCCTGCTCAATTTTTGTCAGTCATGTTGCTCTTAAAGCAAGGAGCCCTGCCAGGAAACAAACAAACAAACTCTGCAGGGACTCACTGTTGCCCTTTATGAACTAAGAGTGCCTCTAGAAGAGAAATAACACTCTACTGCAGCTGCAAACAATAGGAGGTAGTCAACAGCAATAGGCAAGCAGTCTCAGGAAATCTCGTCAAGCATTACTGATCTGCTTAGTGACAGATCATTGATAAACCTCCAAGGAACCCCATAGTTTCCTAGAGGAAAATAGGTTAGAGAAAAGGAGACCCAACTTCATTTTTGGAATAGAGCAAAATCCTTGTTGTGATGCTATTAATTTTCCATTCCCAGTGTTGATATTTTCACCAAACTTCTTACATTAGTCTCGTTTGTTTGTTTAGTTGCCTGAAGAGATTGGAAAACTTGAAGATAAATTAGAGTGTGCCAATAATGCTCTGCAAGCCGACTGGGATAGATGGAGGCAAAGCCTGCGTCTTGATATGAAATCAGCATTTAGCAATATGGCAGAAAATAATCTCCACTATTATGAACAGGTAAAATGCACTTTTTAAAAATGGCATCCAATTGTGTGACATCTCCATATAGTTTGCTTCTCAAAAGAAGTGTTTAAAAGTGGAGCTGTTTGTTTTCTTATACGCACTCCATAGTCAGTTGTACACACACACACACATTGCTTCTAAGTTCACTATCAACAGAGGGCAGTCTTGATTTAAAAAGCACAAAGCATCTTATTTATTTATTTATTTAATTTTTTTGCTTACTTCAGGGAAGCTGCAGGGGTTTGTGGTAGGAGAGCTTTGCTTTCTAGGGCTGTGGAAGAAAGGACTGCCAGATCTGATCAGCAGATTAATCACCTACAGCTTTAGATGATGAGTCAGAGGGGCAAGTTTGAATCAATAGAGACAAATTTTAATCGGCCTGGCTGAAATTAGAAAGTAGTATGCAGATTCAAGGTAGAGTTGCCATCAGCCTTGTCTTTGCTTACATCATCATGCTAATCAAGCTTTGCTGGGGCTTAATCTCCTCACAAAGTAACATTTCTAAACTTCTGAATGATAAGCTGTTTTTAAGGATGCTCAAGTCAACAAGGGTATATAAATGAGGGGTACACTAGTTTGATTTTCTTTAAAGTCATGCTTGCACAGAGTAATAAACCAGCAATCTGGGTTATTGGAAACAAGCTACATGTCAGTGGGGACACACAGCTGCTTTATACTCACTTTGCACTTTCCTGCAAAAACAGCCATTAAACCAGCCGGAAATCAGAAGCAGCTTGTTATTCTATACCAGTATAGCCAATATAACAAACAATGAAGGAAGGGATTATAAATCAATTTCTAACAGTGATTATCTTAAGCGATTGACTATAATTTTCTGTAAAATCTCATTATACTCCTAATTATGGATCCAATCCACTAAACTGCATTTTACCTATTAGAGTATTTATTAATCCAGTGTGAAATCTTAAAGCTAAACAGGATAAGCTACTCTTTTTATAAATGAAACTAAACAAATTACACCCTCTAGCAGTATTTATTGACACCCAGCTTGGTTCAGGCGTGTTGTTGTTATGCTGCAGGTTCTCTGTCCTGTGCTATTTGTACTCAGCAGGGTTGCCCAGATGCCATTTGCCATTCCTTCCCCTAAAGTATGGTTTGCAGCTGGATTGTTAGAACAAATGAACCCTCTGTACAGTGTCTGAGCAATCTTTCCTATTGCAAAAGCACCTAATTGTGTATTATAGTAGGCAGAATATATGTCATTGATTTGTTTCTCGTTAAAGAATATTGTTCCCATACCTTGTAGAATTTCCTTGCATGTAAAAGTTGTTATCATCTGACACATGCTGAATGTACATATCTTTTCACAAGAATGTCAATGAAAAGGCAGAGTTCTTGATAATCAAGAGTGTTAAATTATACTGAGAAATGCATGAGCATTGAAAATCTGCTCTTATAGATTAAAATTAAAGCATTACTCACATCAGAAATTTTGCTATTCCTTGATATTTCCTCAGTCTCTTTCTACCCTTGTGTGTCTTCTGAACTGTATATTAGAGATATGCCCCAAAGGTAACCATACAAATGTTGTGCTCTAAAAACTGTTCATGGATAGAGTTGGGTTTTTTTTCCTTTGCAAGAGAAAAGAAAATGTTTGTAAAACTAAGCATAACCATTTACGTATCTCCCAGCACTGTTGTAGTAACTTTCCTAAAATGTTAGGTCATTCTCCTGTTAAATAATGCTACAATAATGTTGTAAATAACCCTAGCCCACCTCCAACATGCATACACTAATGTAACCACTCAAGAATAAGCAATCAGTTTTCAACATTGCAACCGCTTAGTTCCTGTTCAGTTCAGAAACCTAATGGATTCATAGGAACCATACATCTGATCACTACACTGGAAGTACAAATAGACTCCTGTTTCTTATTCTTCTGGTATCATAATGGAATCCATGGTGCCTAAAAAATATTGCAAGCTCCTTATATAGCAATATGGGTATTGTTAAAATTTCAATTCTTGTTTATTAAAGCTGAGTTGAAATACAGGTAGTCCTCAGTTAACGGTAATTGGGACTGGAATTTCCATTACTAAGCAGTGAGGTCATAAAGCATAATGTCATGTGACTACCACTTAGTGATGGAAATTTGAGTACTCTGATTTCCATCGTTAAGTGAATCACTGCAAGTTGTTAAGCGAGGACCTCATGTGGTTGCCATTTGCGACCTCCTGCCCCCCACTGATGTTGCTTGTAGGAAATTGGCAAAGAAGGTCACAAATGGCAATCACATGGCTGTGGGGATGCTGTAACCAATGTAAATATGAGGACCAGTCATAACTACCACTTGTTCAGCACCCTATAAGTTTGAATGGTCGCTGAATGAGTGGTCATTAAATGAGGACCATCACCTATAAAATTCTTTTTAGGTACTTTTGCTTGTGAATTCCCTATTTAAGAACTGGCTTTATTCTCTTTATACCAGTTTAAATCTGTCACTCAGTATCTACCTATGACTTGACCTTCATTGAAGAGAAGGCTTTAAAATGAGCTGTGGTTCCTCATGTTGTTGGCAGCTTTGTACATTGCAAAGGTTTCTTTCTTTCTAACACTAATGGAATTCAATGCCAAAAGCTGTTTTGACTCTGGCCTAAAATTTCCCTAAACTGACTTAGTAAACTTCATCACATTAAAATGTATGGCAAAACATTTATTTATTTTCTTTCAAATACTTGTATGTCACTTCAGTCAAACAAGTCTAAGCAGTTTAGATGTGTTAAGCTTCTATAAACATATATCACAAAATAAATAACAGTACAGTACAGTATAACCATGAACCATTATTTATACAATTTATAGGCCATCTGACTTCCAACAACTCTTGATGGCTTACAATTAAAAAAGCAAAAAAAATTACAAAATACAAAAAGAAATCATGAATAGCCTCCAAACAATATGTAATTTAAGCAAAAACAAAAACCATGCAGCTCAACCTACACTCTTCCCCAGAACCTGGGAGAATAGCCTGGTCTTTAATAGCTTCCTGAACATCATCAGGGTGGAAGCCATCTGGATCTGGGGAAGGGGCAGGACAGAGATACCATTCCAGAGGGCAGGTGCTGCAACAGAAAAGGTATGCTGCTTGGTCCTACAAGATGACATTGCTTAACTGATGGGACCAGGAAGTACCCACTCTGCCCCATTTGAAAAGGTTTACAGATTTGATCGCATATCTTAGAGTGCAATCCTTTGTAAACTGAGAATAATCCTATTGAATATAACTGAAAATTATTTTTGAGTATAATAGATTGTACTGACAGTCTGTTACACTTAAGTACATCTATATAGTCTGCAAATGAGGGTGAGGTGGTATTTTGAGATATTTGGGGTGAAATCTGGAGTTAGTTAAAACAGACCCACTGCAATCAGTAGGAAATTCCAGTGTGTCTTCTTTAAGTAGGATTAAATCTTGATTTCGGCTGAAATAGATTTCCTGTTCTGTTTCATTCTATGTTAGAGGATGACTCATTTAAGTACCATAACTAGTCTGAAAAACAGTCAGATGATAGGGGTCTTTTGCTCAGAGCCTAATTAGAAATTCAGCCTGAAAGCACCTCATAAGAAGAGGCTTGCAAATAAGTTTATAGGCATTACTAGCACACATAAAATGAAATTGTACCTGTAACTAAGAGGACTATAACCAAATGCATCAGCAGTTACCACACAGACCTGGGAAAACACACAGCTGCTTTATGTTTTGCAAACAGATGCTGGGTTTGCATCCCCAGATTCTCCAAAGCATTTTTGCCTTGAATCTGAAGTGTTGCACAGCCCTAATAATTCCTTGAAGCTACATTTGCAACCTGTCAACTTTGCTGCACCAACTTGAATGACTGGTACATAGTATGGTAACCTGCATAGTAAGCAATGCTTGTTTAGCCCATCAGGCAGCAACCAGCAAATTCAGGACAAACAAGAATGCCGTTATAAATAAAACAGTGAACATGTTTTTGGTCTTTGCTGATTTATTTTATTGTGGCGTATGCATATAGACCTCATTTCAGAGTCATTTAGTCTGACAAGAATTAGTACTTGAAGTATCAGAGGAGGCATAATTCAGTTTGTAGAGTACAAGTTTTATATCTGTAAAGTGTTTTTATCTCCAGTTCAGGGACTTCAGGTAGTAAGAGCAGGGAAAGACTGGTCTGAAATCTCAACCCCTGTGGATTACGCTGGGGTACATGGCTTGAGACAAGTTGGAACATTGATCTGCCATGCTATGAGTTAGCTGGGAAAAGTGCTTTCCAAGTCCTTTACATTCTGTATGCAACATTGATTTTTAATTAAATCATATATAAAATATTTTATTATAAGAATATAGGAAGAGCTGTGCTGGATCAGATCAAAGGACTATCCAGTTCAACAGACCATTTTAGCTGCCTGGATGATAATCCCTTCCTACTGATGTTCTCCAGCAATTGGTGTTTATAATTATGGATGTACCATGTATCTATCATGTGACCATCATATTCTCAAATTAGGCTCTCACATTCTACAGTACATGGATTTGGACCTTCAGCTGGTTGGTGAGCAATAATAGTACAATGGTACCTCGGTTCACGAACTTAATTCATTCCACAATTCTGGTCGCGAACTGAATTGGTCGCGAACCAAATCAAATTTCCCGATAAGGTTCAATGTAAATAAGATTAATCCGTTCTGAACCATATGTATTTTTTATTAAACCA